AGCCTGTCAGCGTGCAGGCCTAGAAGAGCATCTCACTACAACAAGCAGGGCTATAATTATCTGAAATTTAATACTCCTCCGTCCTACGATACAAGTGATTACATCATTTTTTATAAGAAAAAGATGAAGAAAAAAAAATGATATGTGATGGTACAAAAGATGATGGGTGAAACAATAAAATAATACAAAAGTTGGTAGGTAGAGGAATAAAATGGTATAAAAGTTGATAGGTGTGGATAATAAAGTACTATCTTGAAATCCTAAAATCTCTTATATTTTAGAACATAATAAAGGTGAAAATATCTTATTCTATGAGATGGAAGGAGTATTCTGCTTCTCTGATTCTCCAAACAAACCTCCGGTTGTTGTGTTCTGTCTCTGGCTAATCTCTGATCTTGAATTTTGCTGTCTATATTTGGCATGAGGGTCAACAATGCGATGAACTAGTAAAATGGCAGGATCCATGTGTGTATAACTGAATATACATGACAATTTAACCGGTGAGAGGATGGTGAGTTGTGGTTTGCTGGTCTATGGTTCTATATATGCGTCTATCATGGTGTTCTCCGCCATCAAGGATCCATGTGCAAGTACATGGAGCGGTGGCACGAATTGGTAACGCGATCTCGACGGGATGGGCAGCATCGAGCTCAGGACGGTAAGAGGGTGGCAAAGCGCTCGCGACGGGAAGAGAGGTGGCACAGCGAAGGAGGTGGATAGGAAAAAGGAAGATTCGATGATAGGGGCTAGAGTAAAAGGCATTAGCGATGCACGGACTTGTTAAGTGGGTATAATTTAGTGTATGAACTTGTAAAATGCTCATTTTGGTGCATGAGCTTGTCTGGTACTTGCAAATTGAGGTTAAAATGGTATGACAAGACCGATTTTTTTATGTTGAACATTATAAATTATAAATTAATATATCACGTATGTGCACCATAGTAGAAAGGTATATTTGTAAACTTAGTTTTCACTTTATCTTTCTTTTTGTCTTTTTTTTCTATCTCTTGCATCATTACTTGTTTTTTTATGCAATCATTATGTCTTATTATATGTTTATCCATCTTAGACACATGTTTACATGGAGTTTAAATCAAGGACAAAATCAGCAAGATTAATCTTGCCGTGCAATTCTGACCTTGTTTGCACACACCAAACAAGTTCGTGCATCAAAATGAGCGTAATACAAGTTCATGTACTATATTGCATCCACCTCTCACAAGTTCGTGTACCGCTGATGCAATTTACTCTAAGGAATAAATTGCCCTCACTGATGTGGTGGGTAATTTTCTAAAGTAGTATAACATTGACAAAATACCCATATAAATGAACGGTTAGATTACATACATACTACCTATACCCCTACTCCTATTACTAGAATGATGCACTCTTAAAGAACTCTCTAGTTAATGTTGTTGTGAATGTTCACCATCTAAAGATAGCAAGAGCACAAGCTAGAAAAAGGAAGCATTTAGAATGAAGAACTTAATTTTAACTAAACCACTATCTATCTATCTTTATATACTAAAAGTCCATTAAACTTCCTACAAACGCTTCTAAGCCGCCACGTGTTATTCCTATAAACACTCCTCAATCGCCACGTGGCATTCTAATATATCAGTGGACCCACTATTTTTAATTATACTAGATTATCTTTAAAAAAATACCACAGCCCACCTCCCTCCCTCTCCCACCGGCCCACACTGCAACTACATACGTACGTACGTACACGTAGTATATGTACGTTTCCTCCTCTAATACTTCCTCTCTCCTATTCTCTAAAAAAAAACCTCCCTCACTCCTTCCTATTTAATCCTATTATATTCTATAGCTAACAATTTTTTAATATAGAAAAAATATAAAAGAAATGAAATATCTTACTGTGCATTTTCACTTAAGTTGGTGAAACCTACTATTTTAAACATTAGATTTAAAGATGTACATAATTCAAATCAATGAATCCATTAAATCTATATTTAATGAAATAAACAATTTTGAACATAGATCGTTATTGTTTGCATGGCCACCAAAGAAGAAGGAAACATAAAAAAAATAACAATATCTATTAATTATGCCATCTTGAATCATTTTTACATAATAAAGATTGATTAAATGTCCTCTATAACGCTCTTAAGTCACCATGTCTCATGTCTCATGTTTTAAGTTTAGACATTCAAAGAAAAAAAATAAAACATGTAACTATGGGTTTTCAGTTAAATCGGTAAATCCACTGTTGTTAACCATTATATCTTGCAGCTGCAAAAGGTCGGGTCTTGAAGATAAAAAAAAATGGCATTTCAGAAAATAAAAAAAATCACCAGTTTCCACTTGGATCGTTTAGAAAGACTAGAAAAACGAAGTCCCTCCACCATCACCTTCCATCACATGAGTATAATAATGCTCGCCTATTTCCATGTCTCGCTCGAGCTCTACGCTATTCATTCCTCTTCAGACTCCCCTCCCTATTATCAGCTATATACTAAATGTGCAACAACCAATAATTGCAGATATTGACAAGACAATAATTTTAAGCTATACTTATAATTAAACCGATCCATATGCCTATATTTTGGCATTTAAGAAATATTGTCAATATCTATTTTTGTCATTATACATCAGTCTAGAAACAGGAGTAGAGAGCAAAATAAAAACATAAAAAAAATATAAATTCATGTTTCAATCAGTGTTCTTAATGATGGACAATGCAACTTTTGTATGGCACCCGAATCGCCATTAAATACTTTAAAATAATTAAAAAAACAAAACTATAAACATGAATAACTAAAAATATACATTTCACTCAGTACATAAGAAAAAAAACAGCTCAAATGTGAGTAGGCCAAGCCACTACATAAAAAAATGGACTAATTTGCTAGGCATGTGTTCTAAACAAAATAAGTCTACTTTATTGTTAGATGATGAAGATGACTATAAATAATTGACGTGGAGATTAGTAAAATTGCAATGCTAATGAAAAGATTATGGAGTAATTGTACTTTTGAAGTGCGATAAATGTTCTTCTGTTTATATACCACCCTTATTGTGTATGAAACGCTTTGTTTTACAACCAGAAACACCGTTAGTAATTGCAATGCATGGCAACATAAGTTACGCTTTGTTTGTAAGGGTAGAAAATTAACTGGATTATTTATATCATAATTTAAGACTAAGATATCTCCAAAATTCCTACAAACGCTCCTAAACCACAGTGTGGCAACCTACAAACGCTTCTAAGCCACCACGTGGCACTACAGTAAATTAGAGGCATTCCTAAAAATTTTGACAAAAAAACAAAACAAGTAATCATTGATTTTCATTAAATTTGGTGGTAATCCCCCCTCCTCTCCCCGCCACGTGGCCTACTCAACTACTTCCTCTGTTTTTCCTCTTTTCCACCTATTTCATCTCTTATTTTTATGCTTTATTAGTTAGAAAATCAAAAAAAAAATTGTGTCGAAGAACTAAGCAACCATAACATCTAAATCATACAACTAATTTTTATCTGCTTATATCTTTAAATTATGCATGACTAAGTTTAAAGTTTAAGACCAAATTTCATTATAATGTAATTTGGGTTATATTTTTTGATTTTTTGCGTGTCGTTCAAGCAACTATAATAATAATAATAATAATAATAATAATAATAATAATAATAATAATAATAATAATAATAATAATAATAATAATAATAATAATAATATATACTGGATTTTATCATCCTACATAACTTCATAATGATCAAATTATATATAAAGTCATAAAAGTAAAATGAAAACTATGAGTAATATTCCCAAAATATATTAGTTAGGAAGCAAAAGTTATTCTAAAATGTAAGAAAAAGCATACTAATATTTGATTCGTTGTAACCCATAAAATAATATTATAATCATCTCCTATCATTCAATTCCTCCATCTTCTAATTTTTAACTAATTAATAAAAATGATTAATAATTGGAAAGAAAAATAATTATAATTCTTAATTTATATCTGATTTTTAGTTTATTTTAGTTATTGTTTTATTTATAGTTAAATAAATATATAAGATCCATATTAGCCATATTTTACTGTATAAAAATAAAAATTTGTCATTTGATCATAGACACCAATCCTTTGTGTGGTAACCAAATAGCAAAAACAAGATAACATTATAAAAAAATGACAAATGTATAATATCACAAGTACATCCTCTGTAGCGCACTTAAGACATCACGTGTTACGTCTTAAATAAAAATAAAATCTTAGAAATTGTAAGAAAAAGATTAAACCATCAGTTTTTACTTAAATAGGTGGATCCATTATTTTTAACTAATAGATATACTTTAAAAAAAATCTGAAACCGCGCCATGTGTTACGTCTTAAAAATTAGAAAAAAAAATAGAAATTCTGAGAGAAGTATTGGATTATTGTTTTTCACTTAAATCATTTAGAAAAGAAATAAACCACCACTACACTTCACCCTCCCCCGCACATGCACACAACACAATACTACCGGTCCCCTTTTCTCTCAGCTTGAGCTCTCCCTTGAATGTTCTTTATAGCGAGAAATAATAAAAAAATTAAAATATACATACTGCTTTCTAATCTAGCTATTTTTGTATTCATAATTGAACCAACAATTTGAAGATCCATAATACCTATATTTCGAAATGATATAAAATAAAACAAGAAAAATAAAATGTCAATAAATTGAACTATTTGGTTCCAACCAGAAGGACTAACTTGATGGTGCAATTAGGACATATTTATTAACAATAATAGTTATTTAGGATTAGTTGAAAAAGCCACTAAACTTTCAATTAAACAAGACAAAACACCTTACTTTTAATTTACACTTAATTTGTTAGACACGTTTTTCCAACAAACCAAATCTAACTCCATAATGAAGAGATAGATAATTGTTTATATGGATGTATTAAATATTATATATTTTAGAAGCTAACAGATAGATTGAAAAAATTATCTAAGCAATGTCGATGAAAAAAATTATGGAGAAACAATACTTTTGAAATATGGCAGGTGTCATTCAATTGATATTCCACGTATATAAGTTTTTCAAACACAATTTATAATACATGCCCGCGCGAATGCGCAGGCTACCTCCCTAGTTGTTTTAAAGGGAGTAATTTACTATTTAACTATTCAGACACACTCAAACTCTAATTTAACTCTCGCACTCAAATTAACAACTTAATACATATAGCTATATCACAACCCTGATATTGTCCACATGCTAACTCACACACACGAACAGGCAAACTAACACAACCATACTAGGCACACGTTCTACCGAGGAGAAGGACTTCAATATGAGTCATACTTAGAGAGACATCTCTTCATCCTCTGTTTCACCCAATTCCACAACTGAATGGCTCATCTGAAGCTAAGCGTCCTCTTGCCTATTTGGAATCTTCTTCTTCATCACCAACAATTAATGTTGTGCATAAATGGGGAAATGATCCTAAGTGGAACATTATTGTTATTCAACACGCAGGTCTTGATGCAATGATGCCAGCTGTAAGCATGGAGGAAGATGAACCCTTCCTATCCGTGGTGCGGATCCTAGCTAGCTCCTCTAGGGGATGCTTCTACCTACAGTTGTGCCAGCTCCTCCTTCAAGTGATCTATCTGGTTTTGTCCTCTGCAGATCTTGATACACTTGTCATTAATTCTCCTATTCATGAGCCGCTATCAGCCTATCATTACATCAGTCCATTGTCCATTGCACTCAACATCCTCACAAAGTATTGCATACTCCGTCCGTCCCAAAATATAGCAACCGAGAACTAGATTGGACATCACCTAGTACGATGTACTGGACATGTAGATTGCTATATTCTGGGACGGAGGAAGTAGTAGAGCATGTCCAGATACGGTACTAGGTGATGTCCCATCTAGTTCTATATTGCTATATTCTGGGACGGAGGAAGTAGTAGAATTGTTCTCCGTCTCTGGTTCCAGTAATTGTTGTACTCATCATTGTGGGCCATAGATGGATCGTAACAATAATAGGTGTCCCTCAAGAGCTCACTATACCTATGACAAAGTTCTCGGATGGCCACCAATGCCACCTCTTGATACATATGGGCAAAAGTTCCTTCCTCCAGTTTCGAAGATCATGAACAAGATGCCTTAACGATCACTTAATTGTCGCCGTCAGACGAACATAACAGTTATTGACGATGAATATGACACTTCTCATTTATGTCAGGGGCAGGGGTGATGCGTTTCTACTTGGGGTTAGCTTGAATCCTATGTGCAGCTCCGTAACTATACCACCAACTTCGAACAAATGGATAGTCTCATTGATTGAGTTAGGTTAACTGAAAATACAGAAATAACTGAAAACTAGTGAAAATAAAAACTAAAACCAGAAAGCGAAAGTAAATCAAACAAAATTCAGAAATATCTTTTAAAGTTTTCTTATTTTTTGAAATAAATTATTTTTCAGATTTTAAATAATCAATTTCCGGAATAAAATAAATCCTTTTCCAGAATAAAACATTTTCAGATTAAAGAAATTAAATCTTGTCCTTTTCAAACTGGTTGATTTTTTGAAACGATGGGTCTTACTGTACGTACAAAACCAAAAAAAAAGTTCTTTTTTCAAGAACGTGATAATACTAAAAGCAAATTAAGGATCGTACGGTACCAATTTCTAATTAATTTTTTAAGAAAGCATAAACAGGACAGTAAGAAGTACATTACTATTTAGAAGGAAAGAGTATGCGCGGCACCAGATTTATAAAAGAAAAATGCAAAATTTTATTTCTTTAGAATATTTTCTCAGAAAAAGAAGAAATCAAAGAAATGATGTATATATACTATTAAAGAGGAATGGAGAAAAGCGGTCCTAATTTTTCAAATCTTTTTGGAAAGGCTTCTATATATTTTCATTTGGCTTAGGCTAAAGCCAAGGAGCCTCTCATATCAACTTTTCACTCCCGAAATTTTTATGTATAATTTCAAACACTTATATGTATATTTAACTCTCGTTCAGGAATTAGTCGAGATAAGTAATAAACAATATTAACAACAGGTATAAGTGTTTAATTATGATAGATGTGGATAACCTCTCAATCGTAAGAGTTCTAAGCAGTGGAAGGAAAAAACTAGCATAAGCGACGACTCCACTATATGGACAGCTTAACCAGGAACAGCATATGGTAGCTTATTATAAGAGGAGCATATTGTATACTCAACAAGCCACATAACAAATATAACAAATATCCAAATATGCAAGTGTATATCATATAACAAACGAGAGTATACTAGGGCTAATTTGAACAAATAGCATTTGATAATCAATTGATAATACAAAAATAGTTGAATAATTAAGGAAAATTAAACCAGCACTACATAATCTAACCTGGTTGCACGGGCCCACCGTAAAACCTTACCCTGTTGCACAAACCCAAAACGCTCCATAGGCGGAGATATCAATTACCAGTGGCGGCGAATCTAGGATAGAAATTGAGGATAGGCTCAACCTCAAAGTACTAAGTTCATGAAAACTACCGTTACACTAGTTTTTCAACACATACATGATTAAAAAAATGATGAAATAGAAGTACCTTGCCAACGGGAAATGAGTGATTGCATATTTGCATCAAAGCATCAACCATCTAAAGTGAGCAGCCACCTATGCATATAATAATAGCAAAATTAGTGACAATAGGAAAGTAAAAAAATTAACTAAAAGATTTGGCCAACCACTAGTCTACAAATACCTGCAATTGAATTACGAGGCAATGATATTCTGCGGGTTTTCAATGCTTGAAATCTATTCATGATTGCATCATCATCAATTTTTTTGAATATTTGAGGCCTTTTTGGTTGATTTTTACTCTCATCAGTTGAAAGTTTAACAATGTTGTTTTCTTCTCCATCGCTAATCTATCAATAAATCAAACTATCAAATAGTGAGGCTCAATTCTTTAAAATCCCATCATCTAGCTGCTGATGCTGCTTAAATCAAAAGAAATAAAAGATGGAATGACAGTGATTGACTCACCGCGCTGGCGCGCTCGGCACTTGGATTTGGATCGGCTGGATCGCTAGCGCTTGCTGCTCTGCTAGTTGCTGCCTTGCTGCTGCTTTCCTATGGCCTACCCAGTGCGGCAGTGCCCACGCCGCATCGGTGCCGCCGCTTGCGGCCGGCCTTCGGCCGTTCGGCGGCTGCGCCCTTGCTGCTCGCTTTTGCCGCCGCCCGTCGCAACTCGCAACGCAGCCGCCGCCGCCGCCCGGTCTCGTCGTCACCTGGTAGGGTTGGGGAATTGGCTTGCCGAATTGGGGGCGTCACCGCATCAGGCGTTGCTTCTGCCTTCGTCTCTGGGCTGGGCCATAGTTGAGCATTTGGGCCTAATCTTTTTCCAGCGCTGCGCTGCGTACCGCTTCGTCTCTATTTTGAGTGCTGCCCTGCTGCCGCTTCGTAGCTGTTCATCTTCTTCCCCACAAGAACTCTGCCATGGCTTTCCCTGAAGATTGAGCTATCTATTAATTTTTTTTTTGCAAAAATCAGAGGGTAGGCTAGAGCCTGATGGAGCCTACCCCTTAAAATCGCCACTGTCAATTACCGATTTTCTGCTGTTCTGTCGGTGATTTTGTTTCCAACATGAGATGCACTACGATAGTGCAGTGATACTGAGTACGTGGTTTTGGTCTCATGTTTAATCCTCAAATCGCTCATGATTTTTTTTCAAAGAAATATTTAGAGAAATGTATTTCCCTTGATCAAATCTTCTTTTTTTTTCAAACGTGCACGGCGCGTGAGACGAGAGAATATTAGGTACTACCAAATAGTGCTATGCTACCGGTGCTGTCAACCCTTAAAATACATTTAAAAGTCACAAAAAATATGAAAAATTTCTGAGACGTGCAACACCATAACTTATAGTATCACACAAGAAATCAACTCAAAATTCGCTGTAATCGTGAAGAAACAAAAAAGATAAACTCGTTCCGTAAATAGTGCTCAAACAGTTCACATCACTATTCACAACAGATTTGTCTTTTTTCTTCTTCACGATTACAACGAATTTTGAGTTTATTTTTTATGTGATACTACAAGTCATGGTGTTGCACATCTCAGAATTTTTTTTCATATTTTTTGTGACTTTTAAATGTATTTTTAAAAGTTGGTAACACCGGTAGCATGGTACTGTTTGGTAGCACCTGATATTCTCTCCGCGTGAGACAGAGAGAAGGGGAAGAAAAGGAGGACTCCGTGCTTTTAAGGTAGGAATAATCACAAAATAAATATTATTTAGCATGCCCATTTAAACAAGGAAAATCAAATTAAATACAGAAACACATTTTTAAGCTTTTTATTTTCGAAATAAATTAGTTTTCAGATTTTAAATAATCAGTTTTTGGAATAAAGTAAATCCTTTTCCAGAATAAAACATTTTCAGAATAAAGAAATTAAATATTTCTTTTTCAAACTTGATGATTTTTGAAAACAAAGGACAGTACAGTACCAATCTTTTTCATGAACGGTATAATACTAAAGGAGAGGATCGTACAGTACCAGTTTTTAATCAGTTTTTTAGAAAGCATAAACAGCACAGTAATAGAAGTACAGTACTCCTCCTTTTATTCGTTTTAGCGTTGAAATTCTGTGCCAAAAATATTTGCCTTCTTAAGTTACAAAGCAATTTTAATCACTACCTAAAAAACCATTTTTGCATATGCTCAAGACCTATATATTTTTTCAAATGGTTCAACCGTCCGTCTATTCGGAGGGGCTTGTAAAAATTGCTATTTCCATGCAGTTGGTGCACCCCAAGATTGAATTTTCACATGTGGGTGGTTATCTCGTCTTCATGCGAAAATGAAAATCAAGGAAAAAATAAATATCCCAAAAATTCCATCCACTGCCGCTCGTCATCGCCGTCGCCGAAGCGCTGCTCCTCGTCGTCATTGTTACAGTCCGCCGCCGCTCGTCGTCACCGAGGCCCGGCAGCTCCTCGTTGCCGTCGCCGCGCGGGAGGAGGAGCTGGGGATCCGCCGCCACCGAGCTCCCTACCATCGGATCCATTGCCACTGCGTTTCCCAACCGCCCTTTCCATTGCCGTGGAGCTCCCCACCTCTCCTGCTTTGCTTGGCCAGCCGCTCCCTCCTAGCGGTGGAGGAGGACAAGCTGAGGAGCCTCCCGTTGCTGCCCCTCCCCACACCTCCACCACCTCAGTCCCACCTTGGATCTGTCCCGACTAGATCCATGGTCGACGGATCGATATCTGCCGCCTCCCGGTCACCCCCACTCCTTCACCGGCTGCTCCGCTCTTGCGCCCTGCACTCACTGCCGTCGCTCCCACCGTTGTCTGAGCCGGCCGTCGCCACCACCAACCCAAGTCCGCCGTCAGGGTCCAGGAGGAAGTGGGAGAGGAGGGTTGGAGTGGAAGAGAAAAATAAGTAGGCAGAGAGGACTTGAAATGAGTGGGGAGAGAGGCCGTGGAAAAACGAGAGGAGCTCATCTGGTCAAAATACCTTATATTTTGGGACAGATAGAGTATGTGTGTGCGGAGGATATACGATGAAGGGTATTGTAGACTAATTTAAATAAAGCATTTTCTTAATATTTGAGAATTGTAAAATAATTGAATATATAAGCAATAGTAAACCAATACTTAACAACCTAACGCGGTTGCACAAGCCCACCGTACAACCAGAGAAAATATGTATTGCAAATGTAGTATATAGACATGTGAGATTTGTCCATATTACTACAAGTAAAAGTTTTACTCTAATATTTAATCATGAGTAAAAATTTTATGGAACTAAAGTTTTAATCTGGTGATGTGGACAAATCTTAAACAAAGTGTCCATTTTTAGATCATTCGTTAGTTTCTGGGTTTGCGATATATTTTTCAGCACAACCTTACCTGATTGCACAAACCCAAACCACTCCACACCCGGAGTCTACTCCATACCCAGAGATATCACAAAAAATAATGTTTAGCTCTCTCATAACACTCACCTTATTAATTCGAATAGTTTTACTCTAAAATCAGATATGTGCAAATTTACACACAAGATACAACTTCACGACCTGTTACCATATGCCTTACAATATACCTCCGAAATGAATTGTCACAAACCTGTTAGCATTACACAACCTAACATGAGCACACCTACGTCAGCTTATCTTGCCACTTCTTAGTCTAGGGCCTCACATTTGATCATGTTATATATACCACAAAGTCAATTTCCTTTTCTACGTACGCTAACTCGTGATTAGTTTGGTAAATGTTTTACAACAGTAGCTCGTGAATCGGTCTTTAATTTTTATGAGCTAGATCATCGAAACCGTCAAAACCGTGTGCTCATAACCCAATAATTAAGCATAGATGAAGCATTAATTATCTTTATGTGAATCTAGTGTTTTTAAGCATGACTAATTAAGTAAAGTTAAAATAATCTAGCCAAAACATTATAAAGTTCTAAGCTAGTCCAATTATAATACCGGTTAGAAAGAATAGGTGATCAACAATCAAAGGGGTACGTCACACGCGTGAACTTAGATATCGTGAGTATTGGTAGAAGATATCGTTAGTTCCAAACTAAATCTTGTAAACTTTATGTACACACTGTTGTCTGGAACTTCAGGATTGTTAACAATGGAAAAGAATTGCACTTTTGTCACCATTATTATTAGGAGAGGACACACGAGAAAGAGACAGGGATCGCTCCCATTACCATCTACTACTAGGCATCAAACACAACTAATACACACAGAAATATTGAACGATTGTTAATTAGAGCTAGCCATGGACAACGCTCGAGAGAGTGAGGATGAGCATTGCCTGTACGCGCAGGAGCTCGTGTTCGCCTACAACCGCTCCATGGTGCTGCGAGCGGCGATCCAGCTGGGCCTCCTCGACGCGCTCGCCGCCGGCGGCGACGCGCTGACCACCGACGAGCTCGCCGGGAAAATCCAGGCCACGGACGGCGTCGCGGTGGATCGGATTCTCCGGTTCCTCGCGTCCTTCGACGTGGTGAGGTGCTCAACAGAGACGAGCCCCGACGGTGGCGCGGCTCTGATCCGGCGCTACACGCCGGCGCCGGTGTGCCGGTGGCTCACCAAGAACAACGGCGAGGGGTCGCTGGCTCCATTCTCCATGTTTATTATCGACGAAGACCACCTATTGCCCTGGTATATACACATTATTCCTATAATCCTATTTACGATTGTCAATTGAACCAAATGGTACATCATATGCGCGAAGTGAATTTATAATTTAACTGGTTAGGTTCCCTATGGTGTAACATCTCATCGGAGTTTAAGATTTTGACATGAGTGATTGTATTTACGCTAATTATTTTCTAGTGGTAGGCAGTAACCTACCTTCATATTTTCTAGTAGTAGACGGCAACCTACCATCATAGAAAGAGATTTGCTCCGGTCTAACAAAAAGTACCATGAGGTACTGGTACCTCGAGATACTTTTTGCTGGATCGAACCAAATCTCTTATAATACATCATAAGCATATGCATATCCATGTAGGCAACACATAGCGGAGGCGGTGGCGAGCGGCGGGCCGGCGCCGTCCGAGAGGACCCACGGGATGCCCTACCACGAGTACATAGGGAAGAACAAGAGGCTGGGCGGGCTGTTCGACCACGCCATGGCGCAGCACTCGGCGATCCGGGCCCGCAAGATGCTCGAACGCTTCGAAGGTTTCGATGGCATCCAGCGGCTCGTCGATGCCGGTGGAGGCGACGGATCCACCCTGGGGATGATCACCTAGCGGTATAAGCATATTAGGGGCATCAACTATGACCTGCCTCACGTCATCTCTCAGGCCCCATCTCTTCCAGGTATGTGTGATCGAGATTTTGTGTTGACTACAAGCATTGATCAGTTTGCACGACGAACTGATCTCTACTATTATAAAAATTGAATATGTTTTTACCGGTATTTTGGTACGTCATCTGTGTATGAGCTGATTTTTAAGTTTGTTTGCTTTTGGAAATATATATCCGTAATTGAGTCGGTTTTTAATATCGCTTACTTTTGATAATACATAAGGAATCATGTAAGAAATCTGTTTTCAAATCTAAAGAACTTTTAACTAGAAAAAAAAAATCAAACGATTTACAATATGAAACGGAAGGAGTAACTAAATAAGTGTGCGCAATATGCCCTGGATGTTGATCTTATATTACAGGCGTGGAACATATAGCTGGAGATATGTATGAGAGTGTGCCCAATGGAGATGCAATTCTTTTGCAGGTATGATAGTGTACCCACTCTATATATACCGCTTCTTTTGATGACCTAAGTTTATGACTAGCAGAATCATTTGGGTTGTTATATATAGCAGGGTTTGAAATTTCGGTTCAAAATTTACAAAATTTCGACCCCCACCGGCATGCTCAAATCTCACTTGAAATTTTCGGTTTTTTGCAATTTTTTGTGAATTTGGTCAAATTTTATTCAAATTCATTCAAATTCAGTCAAATTTTCAAATAATTTTGGCTCAAAATTTCGGTAACCCCTGTCATAAAATCCAATTTCAAAATTTCAAACCTGATATATAGTCATATGGAAAGAAAATGTTTAACCAAATACAATTTGTGACGCATGAAATTTTGAGAGTACAAATACAATAAAACAATTGATTCTAGCGTTGTACGATGTCTCCTATATATGGCTGTGAAATTGGGACATTTGGCTAGTAGAAAGAAAGAACGTTCCATAAAGATGGAAATAATGCAGAATTAATTCATACATGCATATACATATGCAGTGGATGCTCCTTATGTTCAGTGACGAGGACTGCATCAAGATACTGAAGAACTGCCACCAAGCTCTCCCTGAAGGCGGGAAAGTGATCATTGTGGAAGGTCTTCTGCCAGAGACCCCAAATACTACTCCAGCTGCGCAGGATTCATTCACCATGGATATGATCTTGTTTGTCCTCTTCAAGGTAGGGAAGCACAGGACAGAGCAAGAGTTTGCAAAGCTTGCCAAGGAGTCTGGCTTTACCGGTACCTTCCGGTCGACCTACATATTCTTGAACTTCTACGCCCTTGAGTTCAATAAGTAGCTACACCTATAAAACAGTATGGTCTTGAATAAGAGTTGCTAGCTCGCGTGTGTACTTATGTCTCTCTATGATATGTTTATATTCCAATGTATGTCCCTATTGTGTCACTATAGCTAATCTAAATGTTAATCTTCGATATACCATCTATATCTAGGTTTCCGGTGGACTTTCGTCCGTCACCCCCTGTCCGCTTCGTGATCGTGACATCGGTTTAGATCAGGATTCACCGCTGGCCTCAATGTTGGTATGGACTCTGAATCAAACACAATAAAATCAGCTAGAAGGAGTCCAAGGATTAAAAGTTCGAGCAAATCACAAAGCAATACACAATATCCGACCTTGATTTTCGTCTTGCCCATGACGGTGGTGCCTCTGTATGGTGGCGGCAGAATCGATAGAGAAGATGATCACATCGGTGAAAAGAACGTGATGGCGTTCACTGCTCCGCCGCCAACGTGTGCCGCCGTTGTCGAGGTTGTTGCCACATGTGCCTGCCTGCCACCCCACCTCAATGCCCGTCTTCTCGTCACCGGCCGGGAGAGGAAGAGAGTAGGGGCGCCGGCAAGGGAGGAGGAGAGAAGGGCCCTGCGCCTGGACGACATGGAGGAAGCAGAGGATCCAACGACAAAGTTAAAGACGACATTGGAGGGAGGCGATGCCAGTGGAGATGGAGAGAGCTAGAGGGAAAGAGGTGTGGTCCACCTTCTACCTCCAAGCCGGGCCCGGGCCCCGATTCACGCATGCGGTAAGGATTCGTTTTTTCAGTCGCTAGGCTGATGATCCCTAGCGCGCCACCATGTCGATCTGCCTCCCCATGCGTTTCCTACTCCAATCTATACCTTCTTAAAAATTACGTAAGGCTTCCGATAGTCCGCTTTGTCCGTCATCATCGTTTGAGTCTGAGTTCGTCTTTAACAAAAATCCCCGAGCAGATCAACCGATTGCTCCCAATCCATTTGCCCCCAATTTCCAAAATACATGAATCACAAAATCACTCAATTGCAATCCCAAACCAAAATCAAGAATCCTCCACAAAATCAACATCCCAAATCAAAAATAAAATCCAAAACCTAACCCTAGCCGCCTCCTGCAGTCACCCTCCTCGTGGTCACTGTCGCCGTCGTCGTCGTCGTCTGCCGCCGTCGTTGTCGTCGCCATCGTCGTCGTCCGCTGCCGTCGTCGTCATCGCCGTTGGCGTCGTCTGCCACCGCCGTCGTCGTTGCCGTTGCCGTCGTTGTCATCGCCGCCTTCCGCCACGACCGGCTCCCGAGCCAGCCTTCCGCCGCTCTCGGCAGCGTCTCCGCGCCGGGGATGGGGCCGACGCCGCCACCGCCATCAGATCCGCTGCGGGAGGGAGGCGAGAGGGGTCAGAGGGAGTTGCCGCCGCCGGATGCGTCCTTAGCCGCCACCACCGCCGCCGGATCCACCCGCGGTCGCCGTCGCCGGACCCATCGCGCGAGGGAGGCGAGAGAGAGGGTGAGGGAAAGGACGGTCGGGAGGAAGAGGGGGATATGGAGCGGCGCCGCTGGTGGGGGGAGAGGGAGCGGCGCCGCGGGGGTGGGGGAAAACCGCCGCCGGGGAGAGGGAGGAGGAGTGGCGGAGGGGGAGAGGTGACGCAGAGAGAGACAGTGTCACGCCCAGAAATTCCCGAATAGAATTCCATGCAGAATGTGCATTAAAATCCCCGTCCAGGACCGGCCGGGGTACACAAACGACAATGTTGACATTCAGATCCACGTCTTACAAACATCATAAAAGTCTTACATAAATGCAGCGGAAAAAGGAAGACAACAGGAGCTAAGCCTTGACTAGAACTGCAGCGGGAACACCACTCCACAAGCACCCTCGATGGCACGGACGAAGCCTACTCCTCGGAGAAACCTCCATCTGACACATACTCGAACTCTGGGGTTGGGAAAAAAAATAGAGCAAGACTGAGTACTACCCACTGTACTCAGCAAGTCATACCGGAATAGGGGTATGATGCAGGGAATTATCAAAGGAGAGCTAGAGTGGTTCATTTGCATAAAGCGAGCATTTATAAACAGAAGTTGAAAGATTTAAACAGTTGTAATAATTAATTATTATTAACTATCCACTGTCCAACGCTATCCCACGTTACGACAGGCCCAACCATCCACCTAAACTATCCAAATTCAAAAGATTACACTAGGGTGAGACTAATCACGGTGAATCTGGTTGACCGCCTATAACCGCGGGCACGGCTACTCGAATAGTTTTACTCTGATCAGAGGTGTACAACTGTACCCACAAGACACAGCCCCACGACACGTTTCCGTGCGCCGACATGCCACCACGACATACCGGAAAGAGGCCGTGACAGGACCCTTCGCATAACCCCCTCTAACCAAGCACACCACACCTCAGGTTTCACCCCCACTCCTCGCAAGGCAGCGGGCAGTCCCCTCTCGTGCCTACGTGAATCCGGAAGCCGCATAGGCCGTCGCAGGGCCCATCCAAACTCCATCACGCCCACCCTTGCCTGGATGCGTCGGCTAGAGGAAAGCTACACTACAAGCCCAGCCGTTGCCCACGCTGGCTTGTGGTAAGTACGATAAGTTCTTCCAGGGCATCCCGCGAACCGGTCCTTAACTGCCATGGGTGCGACCAGCAAAACCATGCACCCACAGCCCACCATGTGATTTATTTTAATTAACCAACACCAAAGCGGTGGCACTAATCCAACAGTACCATTAGAACCAACAGTCTAAACATTAATAGGATTCTCCCCATTGTGCACTAGTTGAACTAAGCATGGCTAAGCAATCCCTAGTCCAATCTCTAGTCATGTTATAACCCCAAGCTGACAAAGGGACATGGTACAACAATAGCATGGCTATGACAATAGGTAAACACCCCATAGTAACATTATAAAACAATGCAATATTTGAAGGAAAACAATAGAGCATTTGCAATATAGGATCAACATGTTCAAGTGACAAGCATGACTTGCCTTGCTCTGCTGCTGGAGGAACCTCGGCGACTATTTCGAAGTACACCGGAGCGTCGGAAGAACCGGAATCTAGCGACATACAAGACAAACATTGCAAACAGGCTATAAGACTACTGAAACAGAGAACAAAACCATTTTTAATGGATTCTACACATTTTTCTTGATTTACTGAGACTTGAATGGGCTTAAACGGAGCTCGGATGAATTAGATATGAATTTTAGAAGATTCACTGTGTTTATTAATATAACAAAAAGTCCTTAAATCATTTATTGCGCAATAAATCCCAGGGCTGGCGTCAGCACGGGGGGAGGAGGCGCGGCGCCGACATGTGGGGCCCACCGGTCAGCGGCTCGGGAGAGGGAGGAAAGGGGCGCCGGCGAGCGGGCCCCCTCGGCAGCGACTCAAGGGGGGGAACGGTTCACCGTGGACCGGGACCACGCAGGTGGTCCACGGGACCGACGGCCCAGATCGCTCCCGGGGTTGATCGGATGGGCGGCGGCGACCCGGCTCGGCTTGGCTCAAGGCCGGCCCGCCGGCCACGGCGATGGCGACGGCGCGCGCGTGCGAACGCGTTGCCGGCGACGGCAACCGCCGGCGGAGGCAACGGCGCAAAGGCGACGCGAAGGCAGCGGCGGCTAGGAAGGAGAGGGAGGGGAATAGATGGGAGAGGAAGCCTCACTAAGGGTGGCCGGCGCGGAGGAAGACGACGGCGAACGGCGACGGCAAGCCACGGGAGGACGACGGCAACCGGCGGACGGGCTTCGGGGTGCCCTAAGGAAGGGAGAGAGAGATTAGAGAGAGGGAGATGAACCACGGCGACCGGCATTCATGGCCGAAGGCGGCGGTAGAGGTTGAACTCACCGGAGCGCGAGGGAATGCGAATTCCGGCGACGAAACTCGACGGGGAAGGGGCGGCTGGGGTGGAGCTTAGCCTCGCGAACCCGACGGCGGCGACGGCGCGGTGCGGCGGCGAGCCTAGCGGCGGCTAGCGGCGGCCGGAGTGACGGGAAAGGCGGCGGCGGGTGGATGCACGGTGCGGGAGTGATGGAGAGCTCGGGAGAGTTCGGCGAAATGGGGAAAAAGAGAGAGGGGGTGGCGTCGGAGCTTAAATAGGGAGAGAGGGGGCCGGACGTGGCCGGGAGAGGCGGGAATCGCCGGCCAACGTGGGGAAGTGGGGGAGGAGAGAGAGGCGGGATTCGAAAATCGAATCCCGGCCATCTCGGGCGCGGGCGCGGGCGGGAGAGAGAGGGGAGTGGGCGCGAGGGACGCGGCGCACGCGCGGGCGTGGCCGACGTGGCCCGGAGGAGGCGGAGGCATGGGCGCGGCGGCGGTTGCGGGCGCGGCGGCGCGGCGCGAGGTGGGAGACGGGTCCGACAGGTGGGCCCCACCTGTCGGTGACCCGGGAGAGAGGAGGGGGCGCGGGCTGAGCTGGGGCGTGGCCTCCGGCCGGCCCAGCAAGGCGCGAGGAGAGAGGAGGGGAAGTGGGCCGGCGGCCCACTAAGGGAAAAGGAAAAAGAAAAAAAAAGAAAAAGGAAGAAAGGAATTTCCAGGGATTTAAATATTGCTTGTGCTCAATTTTAATTGGTCAAAATTATTTCTAGGGCTCTGAAAATTCCACTAAAAATCCTGTTAGTGAATTTCGACATGTAGAACTCAAGAAAAATTCCATATGTCAGATTCGATTATTATTTGTATTACTTCCTTAGGGTTTTCTCTTGATTTGTACCGGCATTTTCTTAGGGTCATTTATAAATTAAATTTTAGGCTTGGGAGGAGAACTTCGGGGTGTGACAGACAGGGGGAGGGGAAATGATTTTAGGGTTAGGGTTTGGACCGTTGAACTTTTATATAGGTCGGAATCAATCAGGACCGTCTATAAGATGGGACGGCTCCAACTTCTCCCGCATTGGGCCGGGCGCCGTTCCCAGCCGCCCACACTATTGGGCCGCGTGTAATCTCACAGAATAAGTTCACTTTATGTCCCTAAAGTTATCCCTGAATCTGTTCCTAGGCCGCACACACCATTGGGCCACGTGTAATCTCCTCACAGAATAAGTTCACTTTATGTCCCTAAAGTTGTCCCTGAATTTGTTCCCAGGCCTCCTACACTATTGGTCACCTCATGGGCCGCGTGCACGCTCCGCATGGAATAAGTTCACTTGAGGTCCCTTAAGTTGAACTTTTTTTATTTCATTAGGAATAGATTTTCTTAAAGAGCTCATATCATCTAAAACTAAACCCTAATCATTTAATATTTTAATATTTGGTATAATTTATGTTTACCCGTTGCAATGTACGGGGGTATTTTTTTTAGTATACATATATGTGATCACGGTCTCTGTTTGGATAGACACTAAAAAAAAATTGTCTAGACGAGCAAAACTGATCACGGATTTTCTGCCCGCCTTTACACAAACGACTGGAAATCGACATTTCCACAGGTGCCCTGCGTGATCATTTCCTTGTTCACTGACAGCCATGGAAATCACTACTGATAGGCATTAAAGTGTATAGTACCTCCTTGTCAAAATGTATGAGGCCGTTAATTTTATGCAGACCATTCAACAAGTAATAACAAAAATAAATGATATTTAGGCACGGGGCCGGGAAGCACAACGGGGGTGGCACCACTGGACGTCGGCGTCCACGGCGCTCCGGCTTACCTCGGGCGAAACAGAGGCGAGGCCGGTGGAGAGGGGGCGGCTGCGAGGCTTGGCGCGGCTCCAGTCGACGGGGAGGTGCGGCCGGAACTCGCCGGTGCGGTGGAGAGAGGAGGTGGCGCGGGAAGACGTTTGGGAGGGCTCGGCTTGCTGGGAGGAGGCAAAAGGGGAAGAACGGGAGGGGCGGCGCCATTTTATAGGCCGAGAGGAGGAGGGAACGGCCGGAGGGAGCTCGCCGGCCGGCCATCCATGGCGGCCAATCAAGGAGGATTAAATCCGGCGAATTTAATCCGAATTAAGAGGGGAAATCAAGGGGGAATTGATGATGAGGAGGAGAGGAACCGATTTTCGCAATCACTTTGGAGGAGAAACCACTGGGGAGGGAGATCAAGAGGCGGCCGCGCTTCTGTTCAGCCGTGAGAAGAACAGGCGACGGCTCGGCTGGAGGAGGAAGACGACCCAGCGGCTGGGCCAGCTGGGCCACGCGGAGGATTAGAAACAGACTTTATCCGCGGAGAGTGAGGAAGGTTGGGCCGAGCAAGGGAGGCGAGGAGATGGGCTAAGGAGAAGGAAAAAGGCCCACGAGGGAGGGAGAGAGAGAGAGAGAGGAGGAAGGGGAGGAGGGGGGCGCTGATACGCGATCAGCCGCGCGCGCGCGGTCAGTCGCTCCCCCTCTAGTCTCTTCTCTGTATCTACTATACTTATGTATATACTACATATACACACATATATACATATGTATATATGTGTGTATATATATATATTTATAAATATATTTTTAATATATAAAAAATATATACACATATATACAAACTTTGTATACGATGTATACGAATTTTATATACATATGTATTAAAAAATTAAAAAAATAAGAAATTACATCACGTATACAAAGTTTGTATACACGTATGTAAAGTTTGTATACGCGTATATAAACTTTGCATACGCGTATACAAACTTTGCATACGTACGAATACAAACTAGCTTGGTATACATACGAATACAAACTTTGTATTCATACATCTTAAAAAAAACTAAAAAAACAGAAGAGAAACCGAAAAAAAAAGAAAAACTAAACTGAACCGAAACCAAAAAAAGGGAAAAAAAAAAGGGCAAACCGAACAGAAACGGAAAACATGGAAAAAACAAAAAAAAACAGAAAACTCGCTCTCCCGTGCGGCGCGTCCGCCGCCCCCTCTCCTCGCGCGACACGTGTCCAGTCATGCGGGGAGGGGCGCGCGCGAGTAATAGCCTTCTCGAGGGGAGGAGGACAATAAGACTTCTGCCATGGGCTGAGAGAGAGGGAGGACTTTGGGCCGAAAATGACCCAAAGGGAGAGAGGATTTATTTTTAGGTTTTCTATTTTTAGTTAACTCTGAAATTGGTTTTTGTTGCTTAATAAATATTTTTGCTGCTCTGAAAATTTGAGTAAAAATTGAGGGCTCCTCTTTGACCATGGAGAATTTAAGAAAAATACTCCAGGCCACATTTGAATTTTTCTTGTACGCATTTTAATGTTTGCCATTTCCTTTTTGAATTTTAATTAATTTATTATTTCTTTTAGAGAATGATTTTTAAAACGGGATGAATTTATCAGGTTGTGACATTAAAGGAGTCCGACTACTTGAAGACCTCATTTATCACTCCGTTCGGTGCGTACTGCTACATCATGATGCCTTTTGGCCTGAAGAACGCTGAAGCTATGTTACCAACGCATAATTAAGAGATGTTTGCAGTCACAGCTCGAGCGCAATGTGGAGCCATATATCGATGATGTTGTCATCATCAAGACCTAGCAAAAGGTCAACTTGATTGCTGACCTGGAAGAAACCTTCCAAAACATACGTGCCTTTAGGATGAAGTTGAACCCGTAGAAGTACCGTCAGGGAAGCTGCTTGGTTTCATGGTGTCGTATCGCGGCATCGAGGCCAACCTGGAGAAGATCAACGCTATACGCGATATAAAACCACCGACCACTCGGAAGGATGTCAAAAACTCACCGAGTGCTTGGCGGTTCTCAGTTGATTTATTTCCAAGGTGGAGAACGAGGCATGCCCTTCTTCAAGTTGCTAAAGAAGACAAACGATTTCTAATGGACGCCCGAAACCCAACGAGCTTTTGAAGATTTTAGATTTCAATAGTTTCCTCACAATATATTTCTCGTGCTGGCTTCACCTCATCCATAGGAGCCTTTGCTACTTTATGCATTGGCGAGAATAGGAGCGAGACATTCAAAAAGCTCAAAGGCCTATTTATTTCATCGGTGAAGTTTTGGCCGACCGCAAAATGTGGTATCCACAAGTCTAGAAGTTATTGTATGGAGTGCTGATCACGGTCAGGAAGCAAGCACATTATTTTCAAAGTCACTTGGTCACTATGGTCACGTCTTTTCCACTCGGTGACGTTCTTCACAATCGTGAAGCTTTCGGCAAATTACAAAGTGGGCTCTAGAGATAATGGCATTCGATATAGCCTTCAAAGCCCGAACATCAATTAAGTCACAGGTCTTAGCAGATTTTGTTGCCGAGTGAATGGAAATTCAAGAAGGGACACCAATGGAGAAGCTGGAGTACTGGACTATGTATTTTGATGAGTCTCCATCTCTGGCGTGCTCCAAATCCATCCCCTTTCCCCCATACTAGCCCGTCCAGTTTGGCCATCTTGTGACAGCAAAGCACCGCTGCAAGAGGACCGATGCTTGGAAAGGAAATCGCCGCAGCCTTCAACGCCCATCTCATGGCGCTACCATCATCATTGCAACATGCTACGTGGTTGCTTTGCCGTCGCCTACCCGTCCTCCCACCACGGTGGCCTCGCCGCCACGCCACTCTAGCCTTGCCGTCCTCCTACCATGCCAAGCTCGCTGCCACACCACTGTAGGCTGCGCACCATGCTTGACGACCACGAGCCTCCGTGCCACCCTCGCTGACCGCACTTGTCCCCGCGTTGCCGACGCCTCCTCTATCGACCTTTGCGCCTCCGTGATGTGGGCTCCAGCCGCACAGGCGGTGCCTCCGACCACGCCAGTCCACTGTGCCACTTGCTGCTTCTGCCTCACACAGGCCTCACGTTGCCGTGGCCTCACCGTGTTGGTCTTCTCGGCAGTCCGCGCCACGCCGGCCATGCCGCCTCGCCGCCAGCCCGCCTCCACGCTACGCTGGTTGTCCGCCGACACATCCTCTCCCGGCAACACTCCCTGCGCCGGGCACCCACTGCCTTGCGCAACAGCCAGATCCAACCAAGAGAGGGTTGGATCCGGGTGTGAAGGTGTTAGATCCGCCCCTCCAATGGCCATGGTGACTGTCGCCGTGCATTGCCTACTCTTCCTGTGCCAAGAGGGGTTTCTGCCGAAGATGTGGCCTTGGCTCCACCTTCCTAGCTCACCACCGGCTTTTTCGTCAGTGAGCTCCGGCGGTGGCTAGGTAGAGGAGGGGCAGCGCGGGTGGCTAGGGTTCCATCCCTGAGCCGCCCACACATGGGCGACGCAGAGGAAAAAGTCTGGTTCCGTCTCAGAAATATTGCGTCAATTTCCGGATGTGACCAAACGCCTATGTAAATGACTTATGTGCTGCCTGGAAAAATGTTTCCATTAAGTAGTGAGTATAATTTCTAAAATTACTGATATTAGAGTGCATGACATGAACGATTATACGATATCTTTATCTTTATCTTTACCTACTTAAAAAACAAAATCTGCTTCAAACAAAAAAAATTATTTCTCCGTTGGTCCTCCTGGTCCGACGACTTCTCCTGCTCGAGTCGTCCATGGCGCCACACGGGCACCATGTCGCCACCACATCGACCTATCTTTCCATGTGTTTTCTCCTCTAATTAATTGCAAAAATCGATTGTTCACTCCTCCCTCATCCTTTCCTTTGTGATTTTCTTTTTCAATTCGGATTTAATTCACTAGATTTAATCTCGGTTTAACGGTTATCAATGATGGTTAGACAGCTATCTTCCCCCGGTTGTTCCTATCCCAAGTTTTGCGGATTCACTCCGATTTTGGAAAAAACGGAAAGAGGAGATCGAGTGGATCCAAAGCTCTCAATCAATTTTGGGAGATCATAGATTTGATAGGGATGATTGGCTCCGGTACCATACAGGCACATAACTGTCTACTGGAAGTTAAGAGAGACAGGCTATGAAGGGAGGTAGGTAGGAGACGCCTTTTCAATTTTAAAGTATAGCGATACTAATGTTTTAATTTAATTATTCATCAGCTCATAATAGCTATTTTATTACTGGAAAAAAGTTTTTACCCGTTGCAACGCACATTTATTTTTTTTTCTAGTAATAATAAAAATACAAAACTGCCGGCAGGGCAAATGCGCTACACAGTAAGATAAATTTTAGCATGACCTTTTTTTGCCATGTTTTTATTGTCATCAACACTTTATTTAAATTTTCCATACAATAAACGAGTATATATATCTCATACGGTCCAACAGTAACTAGGTGACGATGAGGGGCACAGCCTTGAGAGGGGTAGCCATAACAAGGATATCGTTGCTTGTGTACCGCTCGGTGACGTCCACCTCCTCAGCCGACATGCCTTTGGGCAGGTGCCACTCGAACGCATGCAGCAATGACGCGACTGTAAATGGCACGACGAGCTCTACCATTGGCAAAGCAGGGCACAGCCTTCGGCCAGACCCAAGCGGAATAAACTTGGCCTGCTTCCCCCACAAGTCCAGCTCCGTCTTGCCCAAGAAACGGTCCGGCAAGAAGTCGTCCGGTCTCTCCCATGCGGTAGAGTCACGCATTATCGCCCATGAGTTGAAGATCACCGTCGTGCCCTTGGACACGGCGTAGCCGCCGATCCTCACGCCGTCCTCGACCACCAGGTGCGGCAACAGGAGGGGTGCCACAGGGTGCAGCCGCATCGACTCCTTCACTGCGGCCTGGAGGTACGGAAGGTTCACCACATCGGCCTCCGTGATCGTCCCATTGCCTCCAAGTGCGGCCTTCATCTCTGCTCGCGTGGTGGCCATCACATTAGGGTTGCGCAGCAGTTCTGCCATGGCCCACTCCACCGTGATCTTGGTCGTCTCGGTCCCTGCTGCAAGGATGTCAAACAAAAGGATTTTCACGTCACGGCGAGAGAGCTTGCCGGTGGACATGAGCACAAGGAGAGAGTCCAGCACATCCTTGCACTGGTCGTCGGTGCCCTGGGCTAAACGGCAGTCAATTATGCTGTCCAGGATATGGAGGACTCGACTCATGTGTATGGCCGTCCAGTGGCGAATGCCTTGCAAATCTAGCGGCCGGAGCAGCGGGAAGAAATCGGACGCGTTCGGCTTCGCAAGTATTGCAACGATATCCTCCATAAGATCCCTTAAATTGGGGTGGGCATCGACGGAGAGAAGCACGTTCGCCAGGAGGTCGAACATGCCATGGTACAGGACCTGGCCGATATCAACCTCCTGCCCAGCGCGGCGACGGAAGCTGTCCACCATGTCGTGCACCTTACGCTCGCGGGCGCTGCGCGCCACGCCGAGACTGCGTGGCGAGAAGACGTGCGTTACCGCGATGCTGCGCAGGGTCTTCCATAGAGGATCGTAGCTCGGCAGCCAAACCATTGATCGTTCCGCGTGCGCGAGCGCACGTCTCGTGTCCGGGACCGTGCGCGCCGCAAGGCGCCGATCGTGCTTGGCGAATGCTTCCCACGCAGCGTCGCGCGAGGAGATGAACACGGTGGTGACGAGGCCAAGCTTGAGCGTCATCACGGGGCCATGGGCGTGAGCCAGGCTTGCGAGTTTGTGGTGGAGGTTGCCGCCGCGCAGGTCGAGTAGGTTACCGACTATGGGCAGCGTCCTGGGGCCAGGCGGCCGCTGCCCATCACCCCTTCTGTTTGTTCCCACGTAACAGAGTAGTAGGACAGCAAGTGATATCCCCAGAAACCACAACCCACTTGCCATTTTGTGCGTTGCAGACTTGTAGTTAATTTGAAACCATAAGAATGGTACCCGCCCTATATATATAGTTATATACCTCGAGCTTTCCAAGGCCAGTTTCGTCCGTTCCTCAACCTTCCGCTATCACCGTGGGAGATTTTTTTTGTCACTATGGCCCCGTTCTTTTCTCCGACAAAAGTTAGATATTCGTGGCACACTTTTCAAACTGCTAAACGGTGCGTTTCATGTAAAACTTAATTAATCATAAGTTAATAGCACCTCATTTTACGTAAAACACTTAATTTTCATCTTCATTTACATGAGTTTCAAACACCACCAATAGCTAACATTCAGCCCCCTCCTCCCACTTGTCAGATATGGATCCAACAGTAGAATTCGCTCTTAGGGCTCCTTTGGAACAAAGCAAAAATAGAGGATTTTTATAGGATTGAAATCCTATGCAAAATAATGGAATGAGCATTATATTTGAGATTCCTACAAAATTCCAATAGAATGGCTTGATTCATAGGAATTTTGGAGGATTTCTAACACGAGGTTAGACCACATGGAAAACTTTTCTTAGGTCTATCTTTCTCCTTAAATCTTATACTTTTCCAATGAAGCGTACAAACAAATAAGTTTCACAAAATTCCTGCATTTTGAAATTCCTAGTTATCAATTAAACATGCCAACTCTCAATTCCTACGTTTTCATGTTTCTATGTTTTTTAATTCATGTGTTCCAAAGGAGCCCTTTATTTGGTGTGGTTTTGCTTGATGTTACATTTTAAAATACAAAGATGTATCAATATTCGAGTATGCAATTTGATTTAAGAGAAATTATATTATTTGGCACCGGCATGCGCTCAATTAATTTTCAAACTAGTTATCAACCCTGTATACCGCACGGGCCAATGATTATACAAAACATTTATCTATTTTTTACAATTATAACATTCAAATAAAGTTTAATTTATTTGATCACTATTTTTAATTATATTTTCATTTCAGTGTTATATAATTACGCTCCAATTTCAGGACAGTGATTTCAATGCATGCTATTGACTTCAACAGAAAAAACTATGCGTGCAATGTCATGAGTAGATCTATACTGAAACAATGAAGGACCGTCTATATTAGTCCTTCTGGATAATATCGCTACCAAGATGCTATAATTATAACAAACAATTCTAGATAGATTTTTATCATAAGAGTGGAAAGTGTGGACGCTTTTTCGTGGCCAACATAAGATCACTAACAATTTGTGGTGTAAACAACAGAGTCGCCAAATTCGATAGATCAAAACCTGCTAGCAAAGCCGATTTCAAGATTAATTCACTTTCGTGGAATTACACGACTAATTTACAAGCAAATTAGCAAAGAAGATAAATATCGTACTTACGTGACGACGAACGAGTAGTTTCCGAGCAAACTACCAAAGCATAATCTTCTCGGTTTCGTGGAGAAGCACGATTATTTTTCAGCGCAAAAGGCAAAGATTAACTAAATTCTAGGATTGCTAGAACTCAGCCATGAAAACGAAATAGAAAATAACAGGAAAGTAAAGAACGGGAAAATAGTATATTGACAATTGTTTGGGGTCCCCATTAACCGTACATCCGCATATACATATATAGATATATATAGATATATATACATATATATACATATATATACATATATATATACATATATATACATATACATATACATATACATATACATATATATATATATATATATACTAGTTTTCTTTTAACATCGTTCTACTATAAATCATATTATTGAAATAGCGAAAAAAGGCACATTCATAATTCCATATTAATTTCCTTTGCAGCCCAGCTCAATGTTGGTCTCAATAAACCAGAAAGAACATATCAAATGCAATTTAGGATTAACTAATTAATACATCATAAGATTAATTGCAATTTGGATTGAAAAATATAATAATTTAGAAGTTTTTTCCACAAGAATTTCAAATTGAAAATCCTTCAGTAACTTCTATTTGAATAAAAACATGGCTGTGTTCGGCAATAGTGATTTGGGAGAAAATCTTCATTGTTATTCGTGCGCACGTTTTTCGAACTGCTAAATGATGTATTTTTTTTCAAAAGAAGTTCTATAGAAAATTTTATTAAAAAATTGTATTAATTCATTTTTAAATCTTTTTTAAAAAATACTCAATTAATCATGCGTAATAGTACAACTCGTTTTGTGTATTTTTTTTCGATCTTCTCTGTTCTCCTCCTCTTAAACACAAACCCTTAGATAAAAAATTGTTGTGTAAATGCATGGGACATCATTCTTGACTTTGTTTATCTATTGTAGGATGAAAAATGGATGTTTGAGATTTATCTACGTCATCCTAACTGAAACTTTTACTTATGGTTTAATTTAGGAGTAAAAGTTTTACTTGGTATGACATGTACAAATTTAATTTATACGTCTATTTTTACATCCTACAGTATTTTTATAGGTTTCCATTACATATTAGCCACTCAAAGTTGTGCATTTGTGCGACCATGAGATGCATCTTTGTTAAAGATCTTAAATTTTTTTTTTACAATTATAGTGGTCTTGCTGTCTTGCCCCTAAATGTTACTACTGCGAAGTAGCCCATAAATTACATACTACTACAGCAATATCTTTATTTTTTTTACACAACACCAATTCATGTATGTTTGTTTTACTTATTTCACTTCTCAAATTTAATTAATCAGCACGAGATCAAACAGTAGTGTAGTCATTTTCCATGCAAATCAATATCCTATAGTGTATTTTTCATGTTGTGGACTCTTTTTTCCTTGCCATGTGTCAAAGGGGAGACGCTAGAAGAAACCGGAGGGAAGTGCCTCTTTTATTCATGTGTCAAAGGGGAGACGCTAGAAGACGCTAAAAGTATTTTCTTTTGCTGCATGGATATCTATGATCGGATGGTCATCTTTTATCCAAACATTCATCCGATGGCCATTGTTTTTCAGATTACGTGGCCCTTTCATTACTTTCTATATATATATATATATATATATATATATATATATATATATATATATATATATATATATATATATTCTACACCTCCCCCTTAGAATAACTATTCTACACTCCCATCCCACCTAACCTAACCCAACTAGCCCATCTCCTCTCACCTCCCAGCCCATCCCCCCCTCCCCGTCAAGTGTCCCTCTCCCGATCCCCTCCTCCTCTTTTTTCTCGTCCTCCTCCTCTTCCCGATCTCTCCATCCCACCTAACCTAACCCAACTAGCCCATCTCCTCTCACCTCCCAGCCCATCCCCCCCTCCCCGTCAAGTGTCCCTCTCCCGATCCCCTCCTCCTCTTTTTTCTCGTCCTCCTCCTCTTCCCGATCTCTCTGTCCCTCCTCCCCCTCCCAATCCCCTCCTCCCAATCTCTCTCCATTTTTTTCGCTTTTTTCTACTCCCGCGCTCTCCTCCTCTTGATTTTTTTCTTTTTCTTCGTTTTTCTCTCCCTCCCATCTCTCATTTTTTCCTCCTATCCTTTTCCTTTTTTTTAGAAAAATTAAAAATAAATTGGTGAAATCAAGACTTGAACTCATGATCTCATGGTTCATGGCAAGCTCTCTAACCAATTCACCATGTGATGTTATGTGAATAGAAAATATTGTTTGCATGCTTTATATGTTTGTTCAAATTGTTATTATGATTCGGCAGCAACATTATCACAAAAGTGTAGTAACAAGATACGTTACTACTACACTGTTGGTAGTAACAACATGGTGAAATTTGCAGTAACAGAGAACATACATAGTAACAGTGACACTATGGTAGTACTGTTTTTGTAGAGCTAAAGTATTTTAAATCTCAATCTTTAGATAGCAATAACGTACACATCATGTCTTATTTTTCTAACCCGTTTGCATCATGGCGTTCGTAAAATAATGTCCTTAACGAAACTAGAACCATCATAACTATTTTTAACGTCGTTACTGCGGAAAGTAGTCGTGTTACTATACATTAGCCGTCGCGTTACTACGCCATTCTAGTGAGACGAGGATTAAAAAGAGGTAAATCCCAATCTTTAGAGAACAATATCTCTCACATCATATCTTGTTTTTTTAATTTGTTTGCACCATGACGTTCGTAAAAAAAAGTCTTAACGAAACTAGATCCATCATGACTACTTTTTGACGTTGGTATTGCGAGAAAGTTGTCCTGTTACTGCACGATGACCGTCCTATTACTGCGGAATTTCCTGTGAGACGAGAAGAACAAAGTGATGGGCGGGGGAGGGGGTGGTGGGCAGGTTTGATTCGGGTTTGACCTGCGGGAGGGGGCTTTGACCAGCCTTTGACTGAGGTGGGAGGGGGGATTTGTGCCCTAGGAAGAGTGGGGGAGGTGGGATTGACCCATGGGAAGGAGGGGGTGTAGAATAGTTATTCTAAGGGAGGCGTGTAGAATAGATTTGCTATATATGTATATATTGTTGGTGGTATGTCGTGAGACCCCCCAACCAGGCCTGCCGAAACCATGTACCTAGCGAGGATTCAAGCTCAAGGCATCAAGTCCATTTGGGCGAAGCCCCCATAGCGAAGACTATGAAGCAAAGACGGCGAAAGCCGAAGAGTCGCGCTGGTATCCCACGAAACCAAAGGCATTTTGGGCGAAGAGTAAATGGCGAAGGGTGTATGCCGAAGGAAGGAGACTTCGTCACAACAAGTCCAACTTCAAAGAGGCCTAAGGGGCCAGTCGAACCATCAGGCCCATTTGCCATTAGGCCAACATTCGCCCATTAGCCCATTAGAGGCCCATATATCCAAATTACACTGTGTACCCATGTAAATGTCCCTTTCATAAGGGCAACCATGTAAATTCCCCTGTAAAACCTAAACCCTAATGGGGAACCTGTAATAGGATTATAAATAGCCCCCTACGGACATGTAAAGGGGGGATCCTAAGAAAAATCTTAAATTAATACATCTACTGTTTCCAACACTGTTGAGTAACCACGTCCTTCGACGTGCGCAGTTGTCCTTTCGACAACAGCTGGCGCCGACCGTGGGGACCTCCGAGCGAAACCACTGAGAGCGAATGCCACCGAAGAAGGTCGCGTAGGAGAAGGTTGCAAGGCAAAAGGAGAGTCAAGTAGAGGGGGAGATGGCCGCTGAAGGAGTGGAACCTTCGGCGCTCGTTACCAATGCTGGAGCAGCACCATCGGCTTCGGCGTCCTCATCGCAGCAAGTCATGCAAGTACCAACATGGTTCACCGGGCAGCCTTCGGCCGCAACCACGCACCGGACCCCTCACGTACAAGCACAAGTTCGGCCGGTCGCTGCCCAAGCACACCCATCGGTACCTGTTCAGGCGCCACAAGCAAGGACGGAAGGGACCTCAGCCTTGCAAGCGC